TAAAGATTCCCTCACTTCAAATTGATGGATCTTCCATTTAATGAGATGATCTCAGATGTTTGTTTCCTTATCAAGTGATATGTAATTATCTGAGGTAAAGAAAGGTTCGGGATCATTATGAATATATCCTAGTAAATGAATTTAAGTTTTTTTTTGCGAGTGGATTTATAGTGCGCATAACTGTAATAAGATTTTGCTTAAGCCAAGAAGCTTCCCTTTCGGTGTGATCTTGAATATGTTCAAGAAGTAGTTCATCCGATGCAGATAGAGAATATCAGAGCTAGGAACTTCATTTAAATCAATGTAAAATTAATTGATGGGAGATAATTTGGGATTTTGAAATAAAATGATTTCATCCTTAATAGTAGCCCTTTGATTAGAAAGCGCCCTTCTAAAATAGGGTGAACGTGCCTTTAAAATTATGAAATGTGCACGAAAACCTTGAGGATTGATGTTTTCGCCAAATTTTTGATGTTAACATTATAGTCTTCAGCGTTTTCTATGAAGTATCCACCATGATAGCCAATTATATTTCTACTACGGTAAATTACATTTTAATTACCAATAGAAATAGGACACTTTTTAAGAAATTGGCTAGAATTATACGACCTCGATATCATAATTCGAAAATACGTAACATTTAGTTAACATGTCTGCACCATCTTCTAGCAATCCTTCCAACAATTGCCCAAATGACAAGGTTAGAATATTTATTCGTTCACCCACTACACCATCACCCGAAGGCTTCTCCGTGCTGACTAGTTCCGACTCGTCGGTTCTGGCACTGAAACAAGCTATATACGAGACTCATCCACAAAAACCCAACGTTAGAGACCAAAAGTTAATTTATAGGGGGAGAGTGCTGAATGATTCAGACACGATAATAAATGTTTTGAGAAATGGACTAGAAACAGATCAAATATTTCATTTAGTTGTCAAACCCTCGTTTCAGGCGATTGCTGAAACAACAGGGATTCCAATCTCCCCACCTAATTCAATTTCGTCTTCTCAAAACATTCGACTTTCTCAAGAAAATACCTCCAACACAACCAATCCACGAACAAACGTGCAATTTCAAAATCAGAATCAT